TTTTGCCATATGTTGGCATTGCAGATAAGGAAAGCTCATCTTTTCAAAAACACTTATATTTTCCTCCATTATTTACTGAAGTCAGCAATCCTTGAGAGAAAATCTTCACAGGAAATACTTCAGGTGGGGCCTTTTATTTAGCTAATTTTAAAGGCAAACATTTTTCTCTTTTCATTGAATTTATGGAAAGGAGCTACTGTATTTAACAACATTTAATGTTATTAATTTGAATAACAAAAATTATATAAGTGGTTGTCAAACTTTAATTATATAGGACTAATTGGTTCTACCACAAATTTATGCTCTCCAAACACAGGAGACCCTTGTAGTCAGGTGATAATCTTTTATTTACCCCTAACTAACTCACCACTACATTCCCACAACACTTGGTGCAAGTCTTTATTATTCTACCCATGGCTTCAACCCTGCCCAGTTCTCTCTGATTTGACTTAGAAGACCATGGCCAAATTCCTTTCTTTTCGTCTCAAACTTCCCATGCTTTTGCCTCAAAAGAGCCCTTCCCTTGAAGAGTCCTATCTTAAAGATTATGTTCCCATCAGTTTAGCCTCTCCCTTACATTTTCAGTCTCTCTCTATCCTTCACTGGTTTCTTCTCCTCCACTTATAAAGTAGGTTCAGGTGTCCCTATACTAAGACATTACTTTCTCTATATCATGCCCTACCTTTGATGTAGCAAACTCTCTCTCTCTCTCTCTCCTTCATCCTACTTATTAAAAAGGAAGTCTGTCCTCACTGCTTTCCATATGCATCACTCTCCCCTATTCAATCCCTCACAGCCTGGGTGCATTTCCACCTGCCTCAGGATAATCAAGGAAAGCCAAGTCAAACCCAACGGCTCTTGCTTCCCTGCACCTCCACCCCCTTGGGGCGTGATGGAGGAAGGGTGGTACTCCCTCACCTTCCCCAGCCTCCATGACACCACACTACTGCCACTGCATTCCTCCAACCGCCCCTTGTTTGATTCTCATAACCTCTTTTTTCTCTTTTCCCCTCCGACCCAGACGTCCTCCGAGGAGCCTACCCTTAGCCTTTGCCTCTTCTCGCTCCACTATTGGTCATTCTGAGACATAAGTGAGTGAGTGAAGTTGCTAAGTCGTGCCTGACCCTATGGACTGCAGCCCACCAGGCTCCTCTGTCCATGGGATCCTCCAGGCAAGAATACTGGAGTGGGTTGCCATTTCCTTCTCCAGGGGATCTTCCCGACCAGGGATCGAACCCGGGTCTCCCGCATTGCAGACAGACGTTTTAACCTGAGTCACAAAGGAAGCCCCCCTGAGACATTAAAACTGCTCCTAAATAAATGACTTACAAATCTCTCTTTGTCACTCTAACCTCTCTCCAAAACCTATACCTGTACTGGAGTCCCTTCATTTGGACAAACCTGTCAGGCTCAAAATGAAACTTCTTTACAAAGAAGTTTCCTCATCCTCCTCTGAAGCTTTCTTGACAGTGACCCAATCATTCTCACAGCTGAGCCTGACGATGACCTTTGATCTCCCTGATCAGTGTTCAGATTATTCTTGTAGCCTGTCTCTTGAGTTTGCTCTCTCCCTTCACTCCCACTCTCATTTCCTCTGACCCTTAATTTAACAACAGAGCTTATCTTGTCTCCCTACTGCCGTTCTTTCCTCATTTCATTACATCCAACACAATTCAAGATTGTCACTGTGAAGCTCAGTTATAGTTCTGTCAACCTTCCTCCTCAAAAACCTTCCAAGGCTCCCTGGCAGTAACTGAATAAATCCACATAAAAGTTGCTCCACAACCTTGAATGACTGTCTCTATCTTATCGCTCACTTCATCTCTGGGCATCTCCTATGCTCCAGCACATGCCATTCTTTTCTTCCCCCCAGTTTAATTGAGAAAGAATTTTAAGCACACCATTTGGAGGAGCCTGGTAGGCTACAGTCCATGGGATTGCAGAGTCGGACATGACTGAGCGACTTCACTTTCATTCTATTCCCTGAATGGGCACACACTTCCCACCAACAGGCCTTTGCTATGCTGTTCCTCCCCCAAATATGCCCTTGCTTCCCTGCCAGCCCAAAACCCACCTACGTAAATCTCAGCTCAAAAGCTCATTCCTCCAAATCTTTCTTGATTCTTCCTTCTGAAGTCGTTGTTGTATCATGTGAACTCCTATAGCTCTACAGACATACAGCTTTTTCAGCACTTCACCACTTCCCACCATTCTTACATGCATGACCTGTCTCTCCTTCCTGGCCTGAAATTCCTCTGGGTAGGATCTAGGTCTCCTTATTTTTCAGATCTCCAGCCATCATAACATTTCCCAAACTCTATCCAAAGGTATGCACTGCCTAAGATGTTGTAGGCAACTAACAAATATTTGTAAATTAATTATTGTAACCTAAAGGGTTAACTGTGGATTTTAGTGCTTGAAAGTCTCTCAATTTTAACAACAATTACTTTTTCTTTATAGGATGTAAGTCCAACCTCGCCCACAGTACCACAGTTTATTCCTTTTGGCCCCACCGGTCAATTTTCAGATGTCTTTTATTCCCAAATCTTCTAAAAAGCAAACTTCTTTAAGAGACCCAATAGTGGAAAAGAACAGAATTAATGCTCCTTTAAGAAAGAAAACGCATCCATGCAAAACAAATTACTTGCTCCAGGCTACAGCAAAAGTACAACTGTTTACAGACTGAATTACAGGATTCAAGCTGTACCATTAACCTTAATAGTGCAATCTTTAGAAAGCCAGGCATTGCATTTTAAAAATTATCACAGGTTAGAAAGGAAATCACTTATTCCTGAGTCATCAATTGTGCTGTTGTATAATTATTCTTTTTCTAAACAGTTTATTTACCTTGATAATTCCTAATATTCTTAAACTTTATGGTAAGACATTTATATCTCTGGATTTTACTTGCACTATAAACTTTTCTTTAAAAAAACAGCAAAAACCTCTCAGAATGCCTTTTACGTTCCAAAGTACTTTTCTCAGAAAGAAATTGGCAGAACTAATAAGAGTTAAGAACTAAGATTCCAAATTCATTTTTATAAATCTATCGTAAAACTTTGGATGCAATCCAACAACCTCACATTAAAATTTTAGAAGGCTTGACTTGAAGGACATGAGGAAATTTATTTTAATGTTCACAGCTCCAAGAAAACCTGGTCTACAGATCATCATTAATTAAGAGAAGACAAATGGGAAGACAAAAAGCATATGTGGACAGCCCTGGTTCTATTATTTTCAATGCAACCTCTGCAAAACAAAACAAAAATTTTTTTAAAGAGAAAGAAACATTTGATGCCAACATGTTGTATACCTACTTGTGTAGCTATGACTGCTATAGGCTTTTCAAGAGGACCGGGGCAGCCAGTTTGGATTCTGACAGCACTGCAGTAGAATTTAAGGTGTTATGATTCAAATATGTTCTAAGCAGGTTAATCTAGTTCCACAACATTTTAATAAAGAAGTATCAAGATATAAAGTGTAAAGGTGCATCATTCTTATAAATACTGCAGGAGAAAAACAGGAGCTGGGGAGTCAAACTGCAGTGGATGCACATATGAATACAATATCTCCCTTCCTGTCTCTCTCTACCCAACCCCACATGAGCGGATCTTTATCACGCAGAGACAATTAAATAGCTATAGACCCTGGATGCAATTCCATGCCCTGGCTCCCAGTGGGTGACTTATTGCCAGCCTGACATTTCCCAAATTTTCTACTTGCAGGCTACATTGGCTAGGAAAGCAGACTCACTAACCTGGGACCCCATCACTATGAACCTTGGGGGATTTCAGTTCCCCAGTAATACATGTTACCACCTAGCCATTGTGAAAGCTGGAAGAGTGGATGCCACTAGCATTAGAAATAAAGTATCCCTTTTCCTAAGGAAAACGCCCTGCTTATGATTGCTGACCAAGGGGTGGGTGGGAGACCAGCTTCTCAATTTTTTTTAAAAAAATACTACCCCTTCATCTCTCATACACACCTTCAGAGTTCTTTCTACAAGATCCAACATAAAGACCATATTCTTCAACCATAAGATTTCCAGTGTTTAAATGTGGACAGAGAAGGTATAGTTGACATTCAAAGTTGTGGGGACAGAGAGAAGGATGTGGCCATTAAAGACCCTTCTCCTTCAGGTCAGACAAGAGAAAAACAATAGAAATTGCAGAGTCAGTGCATCTAAGACCCTTACAGACTAGGAGCTGAGGAACGGAGAAGTGTCACAGGATGGAAGCTCCCTTCAAAACCTGAATGCCAGCAAGCCCAGGAACGGTAACCATTATACTGTTTCCCTGCCATGTGCCCAAAGCCACATGCACACTTCCACATCCCCATTTCAAACGACATGTGAAAAAAAGGGGGAAACGAGGGGAAACGAAGGGGAAGTGAGAACCCCTGCAGCCGGCCATCCCCAGGCGGGAGCAGAACAGAGACTGTGAACAGAGTTTCAGGGAAGAAATAACACTGTCCCACAGTCAGCGGGTGACAGCAAGTCAGGGCACCCGCAGATCTCTGGGTCTGGAGAGCAGTTTGCAGTCACGCGAGTACACACACACACATACACACAGAGATTCACACACATGGGATTTTACAAATCCGCACCCACGCCCCTGCCTCCCTCCACACTCACACACCAAGTGCATCCTGCTCACTTCACCGTTGTCATCACCACACTCTTTCTCCCGGAGTGTCAGCCGAGAGCTGAGGGATCCTAGCGGGGATTCCTGGAAATGTCATCCCCCAACACCTTCGGTCCGCCACCCCCATCCCTTCGACTCTACCTTTTACACACACACAGACACACACACACACTCCTGCCATGACTGTCATCAGACTCACCGCTGCCCCAAAAGCACAGCATGTCAGCGCGCACAGGACACCAGGCATCCGTATCCTCAACGCCCCCTTCCCCCGCCCCGTTAGCTCGATGGCTCTAGGCATTGCCTCTCTGGATGTCGCCGGCTGTCCCCTCTCATCCGCACTATTGTTCCTTGCAGGCGCCCGGGGGCGCCCTTCGGCGAGGACGGGGGCCCCGTCGGGGGCAGCATCAGCGCCGGGGACCCCCCATTCACCCAACCCTCCCTGGAGGTGGTACCTTGCCTGACAGCTGGGTCCGCGGGCCCGCAGGAGCAGGCGGCGCTAACGACAGCGTTGGTGCCAAGTCTTGGAATAAAGCTCCTCTCCAGCCGCTCCTACCTCCAGCGCCACCATCTTCTCCCGCCGCCGCCGCCGCCGCCGCGACCGCAGCCGCCCTCGCCCAGCTCCGGCTGGGGCTTCGCCGCAGCCGCTCAGGCCCCTCCGGTCCTGCGGCCCCACCCCCTTCCCCCCACCCTCCCGCCCGCCCCTCGTGACGCGCGCCGGGGCCGAGCCGGCAGGCGGGCGAGGGAGGGCGCCGCTGGGGGGAGCGCGCGCGCGCGCCGCGAGCTAGGAGCGCCCTTGCCTCCCACGCCCACCCGCGCGCACGCCCGGCGCGCGAGCACGAAGCAGCCGGGCGGCGTCTTCCACGCGCAGCCTCTGAAGCGCCCCAGCCGAAGGGCTGGTGGGCGTGAGGGGCTCTAGAGCCTTTCGCTGCCTGTCGCGCCTCAGCTCGGGCAGGCGCGTCCTGGCGTGCGCGGGCTCCGTCGGAGCTCCCGGGACATCCCTCCGGCTCTCGGGTCGCCGCACGGAGTGGGCAATGCGGCTGCCTCCCCGAGGAGACTGACAGGGATCTCCACCCTCTTCGGTGGAAGCCCAGAGGGTCCCTGGTTTCCTCAGCAGCAGCAGCTGCGGCCAACGTCTGCGCGCAGAAACAGGCCGCGCTGCCGGACCTCGAATCCCGGCCGCCGCGTCGGCTCCGGAGGGGTGTTCCCTTAACTGAGTTACTGCGGAGCTTTCCCGCTGCCCCGGCCCCTAAAATGACGCCTGTATTGCACAGCCTGGCAGGCGCACACGGCCCCCCAAGGAAGGAGGGTTGCCGGTACGTCTGGAGCGGGCTGCAGGCCTGCCTTTAAGCCACTAGGGAGTGAGCCACTCGGGTTCGGGCCGCAGCGGCGCTGACCGCGTGTGCAGCCCTTGAGGGGGAACTGCCCAGTCCTGCGGGAAGAGAAGAAGGCCTCTGGATTATGATGCCGGGAGTGTAGATGAGCCTGGCTTAGGGCATCAGCCCCAGATATGCCTGGGAAGGAGTAAGGCGGGGACCTTGGCAGCAGGGACCAGGTGGCAGGTGCTGTGCATTAATGTAAAGCAGTGGGACGGACAGGCCTCAGGAGACCTGGGTTCTGGCGCCGGCCTCCCCTGTAATTGACAGTGTAATATGAGTGAAATCATTTCCTTTTTTCACAGAATATTCAGTAATAATAAGAAATGATATTTGCACAAAGCCATATAGTTTTGCAAGGCCATCTTCATACATATGTTCTTATCCGGTAAAATGAAGATAAGCTTTGGTTATACAGATTTCTTGGGAAAGGGTTCTTTTATCACACAGTGTTTCCATATTATTTTAAGCCGAATCCCTCCAGAAACGCATTATCAAAGTCTTGTGTTTTAGCTTTAAAATTCACATGTTTCCATTCTATTCCATAAATCTTTTTCGCTTTAATAAAATTAAAAAATATCTTCTCCCCCGCCCCTCAAAAAAAAGATCTTTTCGTAAAATTGAAATATTATGTAGTAGGAAGGGGGCTTCACTGGTGGTTAAGTGGTGAAGAATCCGCCTGTAGTGCAGGAGGCCTGGGTTCGATCCCTCCGTTGGGAAGATCCGCGGAAGAAGGGCATGGCAATCCACTCCAGTATTCTTGCCTGGAGAATCCTATCGACAGGGGAACCAGGGAGGCTGCAGCGCATAGAGTTGCAGAGTCTGATAAAACTGAAGCCACTTGGCACCGCACAGCACCTACTAGGAAGATATATCTATTCATCCTGTACTCTTACATATTCATTTTTTGCCCCAGCAACTACTGGATATTTATGCCAGACAAGGTCCTTGTTCTCCCAGAGCTCACAGAACAATGGAGGAAACAGGTATTAAAACAATCAGATGAGTTAAGTGCAACTGTGATCTGTTCTCAAATGCAAAGGTTTACAAGGAAACCTAATGTGAACTATAAGATTGGGTAAGGCTCTACAGGGAAATGACCTTTCAGGTTGCCCAGGAGAGGCACTTCCAGGTAGACAGAAGGAAATGTGCAGAAGCCCACCCAGGTGTGCCTGAAGTGAGAAGGAATGAGGGATGGGCAGTTGCAGCCAGAACCTTGGGGGCCTTTTTGAATAAGGATTTTATTTTGTGTGCCTTGGAAGGTCACTGCAAGACTGTAAGAGTTGGGAGTGAGTGATCATGATCACATTTTAGTTCCTTAAAAATGGGTGAGGGAACTATGTGAAGAAGTGTTTCATGGAGGGTTGAAACATCCATGCCTGTGTATTTGGTAAGTATTTAGGGTTTTCAGTTTTTACGCATACTGTTCTGTTCGTTTTTAGTTATTGCCTCTGTTTCCATTCATACTAGTTTTCTGGTCTTTCTGTAGTAGTGCCTACTTTGTTACTTTTAATCTGCTGTGTTTTAGGAAAGAAATGAACTAATCTTGTTAGAATTTCAGGTTGAGTAAGAGGCTTTTTCTGTGCATACACTTGGTGTCATTTGGTTTGTTATACTTATTTTCTACTTTTCTGTTGTGCTTACACTGAGGCAAAGTTCCTTGATGCATGAATAAGAGATACATTATTGCTTTAATAATGTAATATCTTTTCCTCAATCTTGCATCACAGGATTTTTGTGCAGATTAAAGAAAGTGTGTGAAATGACTCTATAAAGTATTAAGTGCCATATAAAAGAAAGTAATGGCAGCTTAGCGACCTCCAAACTAACCACTTATCAAATAGTCACATCTTGGAAACTCCCTCCCTTCTCCTCCCCTGAACCTGCCACAAAAAAACAGAGATGCCTGTTTTCTTTCAGTGAGCACAAACTGTCTGAAGTGTCTGAAGTGCTCAAGTTACTCTTTGTGCCTTGGCTGACAGGAAACTCAAGCCTAATTTGCAGGTCATTGTAGGAAATGGGTAAATTCATATGGCATTCTTATCTATGTCATAGCTCTTCCTTTGGTCTTGTTTTTCTGTTCTATCTATAGTTTTCCTGTGCCTGCTTTAATTGGTATTTTCTATTTTATTATAGGTATTCTTGTAAGCCATTTCAAATATTTGTACCCACCTAATTTTAACAAGGGTCAGAACTGCACTTCAAGGTTTCAGAAGCCAGTATATAAAACACTGGCACCCTGCCAGCCATTGTAGCAGGTACAATACTATAGACACTGTGCCAAATGATTTGGGTTTAAATTAGGCCTTGTCCAGGATTGCATGTGGATATGAAGTCTCTGTGCATGCCAGTCTAGAGCCTCCTGTTATAAGCAAGCCAAGTTTGTCTCCCACTGGCTTATAGATAATTTCACAGTTTTCTTTAGTGTGATCTCCATGTTCCCAAACTCCATCACCCTGCTCTGTACTTACAAGTATATCTTAGTGGCACAGACACTGTTTGTCACTGGTAAGAGGGCAGGGATCCATGAACTGTTACTCATTTAGGTTTCTTTTTGTCAGCAAAGACCTGAAGATTCTAGGATTCACTAAATTCATTCACGTTTTAAAAGAGTGTGACCATGTCTTTCATCCTCTGTTATGATTCTGGACAGCCCAAACTGGACATGTCTCTTTGGATAATTTATTGTTGTTCACTCGCTAAGTCCTGTCCGACTCTGTGACCCCATGGACTGCAGCACACCAGGCTTCCCTGTCCTTCACTATCTCCCAGAGTTTGCTCAAACTCATGTCCATTGAGTTGGTGATGCCATCCAACCATCTCATTCTCTGCTGCCCCCTTTTTTCCTGCCCTTTCACAGCATCAGTTCTTTTACATTGAGTTGGCTCTTCCCATTAGGTGGCCAAAGTATTGGAGCTTCAGCTTCAGCATCAGTCCTTTCAATGAATATCAGGGTTGATTTCCTTTAGGATTGACTGGTTTGATCTCCTTGTAGTCCCAGGGACTCTCAAGAGTCTTATCTAGCACTACAATTTGAAAGCATCAATTCTTCAGCTCTCAGGCTTCTTTATGGTCCAGCTCTCACATCCATATATGACTACTGAAAAACCATAGCTTCCATTATACGGATCTTTGTCGGCAAAGTGATGTCTCTGCTGTCTAATATGCTGTCTAGGTTTGTCACAGCTTTTCTTGCAAGGCTCAAGCAACATTTACTTTGGTAATGGTAGATTCTTTTCCTGGATTTCAAGTCCTTATCAACTGCATTTTATCTCAGGCCTTGAGTTTAAGTCTTATGAGCTGAATCTGTGTGTAGAACAAATAATCAGCAACCTTCAGGTAGTGAGGTTTTTCTTGAGGATTTCACCTTTGTTAGCATTTGATAATCTAGCAACCTTTCCAATCTACTGTATAGTTATTTTTGTCACAAAACTTTAAGTATATGGACAAAATAAACAATTATGAAATGTGTATCTCCTAAACTTCCATGAATCTTTTACATGTCGATTCTTATTTCACCAGCTTTTCCTCTAGATATACATTCTGTCCTGGTTTCAGCCAGATCCTTGTCTTTTCTATTCCTCAAATAGGTCAGGTTCCCTCTCTCTCTCTTCTTTGAGTCACATTCACTGTGCCTTTTAATGGTTCCTACCAGAATTTTGTACTGTAGCTATGTGTATCTGACACCCTGGGAAGATGTTCTGGTTCCACACATAGTTAATTCTACCACTGAAAATGAAGTTTCTGAATGAGGAGTGTCATGGGATCATATTGTCTTGTTTAAATGGTTATGTGCCCATTCCTGAATCAACCTCCATGGCTAGCAGCAAGGCCCCCACCCCTGTAGCTGGGTCAGTTCTCCCCAAACCACGTGGTTAATGATAGAAAAAGATCTAAATACAACGAGGGGGAAATGGACAGAAGCAAAGGAAAACAACTATCTTGTTCATCTCAGGCTTATACTAGAGAAAAATAAGAAAATTTAACCCAACTGTACAATAATAAGGGAATTAGTACATAGGTGAATATGTCTTTACAGTGTTATGTAATGCAGCCATTAAAAATGTTATGTCTATAGATTTTTTTAATAATATGGAAGAAATACAAGCTTATGTTCTCATCATAGTTTTTAAAAATTGGGATACAATATTAGGTAGAGAGTTGATCATAACTTTTAAAAAGTGCATAGAAAAAAAAAAGGTACTCTTGCCTGTGCTCAAACCGAGTCTTGGTCTTATACATGAGATTCGGTTAGGTAGGGTCAGAGCTGGGAATTACGTGTGTCCAACCTAATTTTTGGAGGTCTCGTGAGATTGAACAAGACCAACAACAACAACAAAAAAATGTTGGCAGTAGTCCTCTTCAGTAGTACTGTTCTTTTCCTCTTTCTATGTTGTAGTAGTTTTAAAAAATTTTACACTGTACACATGACCTTAACAATTTGAAAAAATAAGGTACTAAAAATGTGGTTGTAAAAATTAACATTACCACCAGATGCCTAGTGACGTCCCAAAATAACTGTTGGGTCACTTTGCATTTCTAAAGCATTTTTCCAAATTTGATTTATCCTTCAGGCTTATTTCAAATACCACATACTTGAAGAAAATGTTTTCAGACTGTGTTGCTATCATTGATGTACCTTGCTGTCTGAGTGTTTGTTTGAAGCACTGGGAGCCTTACAGCATCTCTGAAATGTCAGGATATAAGTAGACAAAAATTGATCAAATTGTTTGCTTATTCTGTTTAACATCTGCTTATGCGCTTGGTTGTTTCCCATGTTATTTCAGTAGTAAGAGGTGAATATTATGATCATCTGGTTGGAGCAGCATAAAATATTGATATATTTAATTCATCATACACACTGGGAACAATTTTACTGGAAGAAAATATGACCATGTGTTCTAGATAAAATATAACAATGCAACCAGGAGTGTATTTATTTAAAAATAAGAAGTTGGGAAATTAAGTGCTCGG